CGAATCCACGCGCACATAAACGAGCCTTGTAACGCGTGATCTCACCGGTCGGCGCCGTCTTCCTCTTGAACACCCATTTACAGGTTACGATCTTGGTTCCAGCTTCCGGTACCTCGAGTTTCCAAGTTCCATGCTTATCATGAGCTGTGAGCTCCTCGTCGATTGCTGCCTTCCATTTATCTGCGTCGCTCGATGACATTGCTTCGTCGAAAGTCTCTGGTTCACAATACTGCGCCACGTTCGCCTGATACGCGTCATCGGCACTGCGGTGTGCCGATCTTAGTTTTCCCCGCTGTTCCTCCGAGGCGACGTACTTCTTTCGTGGACGTGATCGCGAGGTTTCAACGACATCCTGAATTTCGTTTCGGTCATTGCCATCAACATTGCAGCTTTCCTCTTGATTCTCGTTGTCGGGACCACTCTCATTCGTGTTGATTGCAGGCATCTCACATATACTCTCGTCGAACTCTGCATATTCACGCCAACGCTCACGTACTTCGACCTTGTTCTCGTCGAACGTAACATGACGTGACACGCTTATCTTCTTTGTCACTGGATCGAGAAGAATGTACGCATTTGCACGGTATCCGACCAGCATCAACTTCTTTGATTTGGCATCTAATTTCTTTCGTAGCTGATCAGGAATAAACTTGTACGCATCGATGCCGAACGTGCGCACGTGCGAGAGGTTCGGCTTCTTCCCTGTCCACAACTCGTAGCTCGTCTTGCCACCTGCCTTCTTCGACGGTGTCCGATTGAGGAGATAGACCGCCGTGTCGACCGCGTGCGCCCACAATTTCGGCGACAGTTCGCGCGAGTACATCATCGCGCGAGCAGATTCGACAATCGTCCGCATGTCGCGCTCTGCGTATGCGTTGTGTTCCGGCGTATAAGGTGGCGATATCTCGTGTTCAATGCCATGATGTTTCAGATAACCTGCAAATTCTTTAGACACGAATTCACCTCCCCCGTCACTACGAAATGTCTTGATTCGACGACCGTACTTGTTCGCTAGTATTTTCGCGAGCTCAACGAATTTTCCTAGTGTTTCGCTTTTGTATCGAATAAAATATACGTATCGGTAACCGGTCGCGCTACATTTGAACAACGCGAAATATTTATTGCCGCCAATGGATTCCGTGTCCATCGTGCACAAGTCCGCGCTCACGTGCTCCCCCGGAGCCGACGCGCCCGCCTTGTCCGTTGACTTAAACGGCAATTTGTGTGCTTTGCCGTACGCACATCCTTGACAAAAGAATTCTTTAGTGTCCTTCAATTCGATGCCTTCGACGTGACCTTGCTTCACCATGTCTCGTAGCGACTTCAAATTCACGTGTCCCAGACGCTCGTGAACCACTTTGAGCGATGCCTTCATCGCGATGTTCGCCGTCGCTGCTGGCTGCACTCGAAACAGCATCCGGTATAAGCCATCGCCTTGGCGACGTCCCTCGCCGATCACTTTTGTCCCGTCGTAAAATCTGAACGTGTTTCCGTTTGCCTCCTGACGCATTCCGTTATCAACACATTTCCCGACCGAGAGCAGGTTATGTCCGAGTTCGGGAACGTAGAGGACGTCGCGAATCTTTGTTGCGATCCACTTCCCGTTCGCGTGTGCCGAAATGTTGACGCGACCTCTATCGAGAACCAGAAGCCGCCGACCGCCACCGACCGTCAATGTTGCACCCGTTTCTTCTTTGAAATCGACGAGCCAATCTCGTCGACTCGTAACGTGAACGTTATAGCCGCTGTCGGCGGTCCACACGTTCGTAGCGTCGTCATGCATAATTGAGTCGATTTCCTTCGTAATGATAGCCGTGTACGCCTTCGCCTCTTCCTCTGCGTCGTAATGTCGATCATGTTTCGTCTTCTCGTTGTCA